ACAACCTAGGGCCGGCCCTGCTCTTATGATTGACGTTAAAAAAAAAATCACAATTACTACATTGTTTTTTTTTTCTTTTTTATAACCCGCATTACTACAGTACATTGTTGGTGTGGTTAATCATGCATTTTCTTTATTCATTAGTTAGTCATGTGACAAACAACAGTTCATGTAAGTAAAGATTTTTGTTTTTTTCTTGAATGTTTTAACTCTTCTTTAAAATAGTTCTTAAGGTTATGTGGTCTTTGATATTTTTCAGCACAAGATTAGTATTTTAATACATAGCATCTTTTAGAAGTTATCTTGTTGGCCAGAGAATTTTTGGCAATATTCCCTTTATTCTATCTCTCTAGCTAATAGCTACTGTGTGTATACCGAAACACACATTGTTTCCTCGATCAGAGCCAATACTTCTAATAGAGTATAGAGGAAGCCGATTAAGACGCGAGCAATGCCAGCTAAAGATTGCTGCTGCGTTCTTCAGCCCCATCAGACCAAGATCCTGCAACACCTGAGGTTATCTCTCTGCAACATATACTACAAAAGTAACAAGAAAATATATTCTTCCGTAAAAAGCCACTATGCGATCAAGAAACCCATCTCAAGAAGATCAAGAATTTGCATGACATATTTTGTCGCAAGCTAACGCAACAACACATAAACACTTGCTCATCACTAGCACAAATTTGCACATCGTCAATTCTTTCACTATACGTGAAATATTTCAAATCTCCGGTTTTCGCCGGAATCTAAAAAATCTGGTAAATTGGGGTCTATGAACAAATTTTACGTTTTGTCAATGGCGTTTTCTTGCTATCTAGTTTGGTCAGTGTCGATTTCTTGGATTATTAACGGATTGAGAAAAAATGGTGATCAGGTCCGAGAATTCTGTTCTCTCTGTTTGTTTTTTTTCACGGAGTTTCCTACTTCTTCGGTCTCGAGTCGTGAGTCTATTGTCCTTTTTTGTGTGTTTGTTAACGCTTGGTTGAGATTGATACTTCTGAACTGGTAAATCTTAAGTTTGAGATGGAAAAGTTAGTATATTTAGAATGTAAGTTAATTGAAACAAAGTGAAAGATTTTTTTTTTTAAAAGAAATCAAATTGTGTATAACCAACGATATTAGTGAATTTGTTTTTAAAAAAGAAAATATATAGAACTTAGATAAGACGTTAGGAGATATTTTTGGAGAGACTGAACGTGGAGAAGAAGTCTGAGACAAGTGTCACAATTCATTGAACCGGACGAGTTGACGCAAGACTTGCCAAGT